ATTCCCCACCTGCCCCCACTATGGGGCATTCTTATTCCTTCCTTCAAGCTCGGGTCCTGCCAGGATTAGTGCCTCTGTGCTGTCTTTCAGTCCAGCTTTGTCCAGCCACTGGTAGGATTTTTCGATATCAGCCACCTCTACTATTAGACGGTGGTACATACCGTGCAGAGGTTTGTCCTTCCATGAGGGTTCCTGCTCTTCCTTCCCTAGTTCCTCTGGTTTCTGCTGCCTGAGGTGTTCACTAAGCATGTCATCACTTGGGGCCATCTTCCTAATGTATTCATAGGTCTTTGTTGTTTCATCCTGGATAGTGGCTCTGACGCTCACTAATCCTCGGCCTCCTTCCTTCCGCTTAGTGTACAGTTTCAGGATGCTGGACTCGGGGTGCACATACATACATACACACACACACACACACACACACACACACACATATAGATAGATAGGTAGGTAGGTAGGTAGGTAGGTAGGTGAGAGGGGCGGAATCAGGACAAATAAGAAGTGGACCTGATGGATAGCCAGACAGATGCACAGACTGATGAATGAATGTATTTTTTAAACGATGAGCAGATAGTGGAGAGATGGCTAGCTGGATGGATGGATGATTATGATGATTACTACAAGACATACTCTCCCAACAGGGGGTGAGTAAGATAATTACAGAAAGAAATGGAAAGATTAAAACAGACAGAAAGAACAAATTGATAAGAAAACCTCCCAGAGAGGGGTATGTATCTTTGTGAAGTGTTTTGACCCCACATACTATGAATGCAGTAGAAATCGACCTAGTTATGACTATTTATTTAGCTCCAATAATACACCTTATTAAAATACAAACTAAAACATGATTAGAACAATTGATCAAGCTGGATGGCATCTCAAGATAATAAGAAATAAACTCAAAATGATGCATACTTTTTCATGTATTGCCAAGATAAACCTAACCCTGCAACTCACATGTCTCCTTCTAGTTATTTTCATGTGGCACATTTTCCCCCCTGGGTTGTTACCTTTAGCTCTACTGTATAGAAAGTCACTTTCGGCTTTTCCTGTTTAGGGGTTGCCACAGTGAAATGTCACACTGACGACTTGCATGTTGACATTTGACACGTGTTTTACGCCGGATGCCCTTCCTGATGCAACCCTGATTCGAACCCAGGCTATGTTCACTTGGTGTTGTGTCTTTGGCCACAAACTAAGCTAAATTTAGGACTAGAATATGAAAAAGCTTTTCCATGAGGCCTAGTGATTGCAACCTAGAAATGTCAGTCATGTCTCACTGGACACTCTTTTTGGATTTAATGGATCTTTCTTGTGTAAAGTATAGTAGCTCTGGATCAAAGCATAAAAAAAGACTTTGAGACTGGACAGGTAACAGTTCTTGAAGTGACCATCTGATATTGCTGCACACAGGTTGCTTTCATGCTGAAGCTAACAGTTTACCATTGCAACCTCAGGGCCAAAGAGTCAGGAACCAAAACACTGAAAAATGCTCTGCTGCTCACATACTTCTGGAACACATTGTGCACTGTAGAACCAGCCACATTTCTTACGGCCAGGTCTTCAGTGACTGCCAGTCCCACTCTCCCCACCGAATACACCTGATGCCACATTTCTAAGAAACACTCCTCTTGTATCTTATTGTTGCTGTTTGGCTTTGTGTTCCTCTCCTACATTTGCCAACATCTCTCCTCTCCTACCTCTCTTTTCCTCCCTCACTTCAGTGCATTTCCATGGAGCTGCTCTGTACAGTTGGGTTTCCATAGCAACACTCACCGACAC